GATTTGGCCTCATTATATGTTGACTCCTAAATATTAATTACCTTGTCTATTGTGAACTTATGTAGGGAGAATTGGAACCTAATGGTGATTTGTAATTCCACTAACACAATTTATCACCTTGATTCAGCTCGATCATCGGAGAAGTGGCTCGTGAAGTCTATATTGCAAAAGTAAATATATATAGCAACCTATAGTGATGATTATTGCTAATAATAACTAATTTAGTAATCATACGACTAATCAAATTTGATTGTATTTTTTTATACTACAGTGTTATGAAGAAGCTACATTGTCGTGCTCCAAAGGGTCCAACATGGAAGACACCGTTGGTAATTTACATGATATTATTGTGATTATCTTGAAAATCTATGGTAGTAAATATTTGCTCATTTCCTTTGCATGTTTCACTGATGTGATTTGTTTGTCATATGATAGTGCGCACAACAAGAGAATGGACTTGATTGTGCTTTGTATGTGATGAGATTCATGCTTGACATTGTGACTCATTGTACGGACACTCAACAGCTTGATGAGGTAAGTCCTAAAACTTCTTGAAATGCTATATTGATGTGATTTCACGCCTTAGACACTTAATATTACCCAACAATGGCATGTTATGAGAAACAAAAAAAGCTATTTCACAAGAAAGGTAGAAAATGGGCTGAATAGAAGTCATATAGGCCATGTTAGGGCCATTTTGTGTTAATATGCTCTTTTGATGTGATTTCTTTTCTTATACACATATAACTAGATAATATTGACATGTTATGAGATAAATAAATTTCATTTAATAAGAAATGTAGGAAATGGGCAAAGTAAGGTCATATAGGCCATATTCGGGCCATTTTGAGTAAAAAGCGTCGTAAACCTTAATAAAATGCTCTCCTATACAATTTTAGGGCTTACACACATACAACTACCCAACATTGACAAGTTATGAGAAAGAAATAGTTCATTTGATAAGTAATGTAGAAAATGGGCTACATAGAAGTCATATAAGCCCTATTTGGGCCATGTTGAGTAAAATGCGTTGTTAAACTTCTTGAAATGCTATATTGATGTGATTTCTAGCCTTAGACACCTAATATTATCCAACAATGACATGTTATGAGAAACAAAAAGGCTATTTCACAAGAAAGGTAGAAAATGGGTTGAATAGAAGTCATATGGGCCATATTAGGGCCATTTTGTGTTAATATGCTCTTTTAATGTGATTTCTTTCCTTATACACCTATAACTAGATAATATTGACATGTTATGAGATAAATAAAGTTCATTTAATAAGAAATGTAGGAAATGGGCAAAGTAAGGTCATATAGGCCATATTCGGGCCATTTTGGGTAAAAACCGTCATAAACCTTAATAAAATGCTCTCCTATACAATTTTAGGGCTTACACACATACAACTATCCAATATTGAAATGTTATGAGAAATAAATAGTTCATTTGATAAGTAATGTAGTAAATGGGCTATATAGAAGTCGTATAGGTAATATTTGATAAAATACATATTTTTTGCCTAATTAATTATTTTTAAAATAATGTTTTTGTATTTCAAGTTTTGCAAGGTCCAAAAGGATGGTCCGTTGACAATCAAGGAGCTTAATGAAGTTCGTGACATGTTGGCGTCTTTCATCACCTTCAACATGTAAATGGCATGCATTGTAATTGTAAATTATTTATGTTAACTTTTGAACTATATATAACTTATTATTCATTATATTGTATTTAATATTATTTTTGTATATAATAATTAATAATATTATTATTAGTTATTATAATAATAAAATTATTAATTATTATATTTAATATAATTGCTGGAATTACAGGGTATTATTATTGCAGGTTTTTTTTTAAATATTATTGCACGATTGAAAAAAAAACGAAAAAAAAAAAAATTATACAAAAGGCACCGGTTAGAAAGGAACCGGTGCCTAAACTATCCACCACCCAAAAAAAAAATGGCGGGAGAGCAGTATTAGGCACCGGTTAACCGGTGCCTATTCTACCCTATGGCACCGGTTAACCGGTGCCTATTAAACCCTATGGCACCGGTTTTGAACCGGTGCCAAATAGGGGGTTTTTGGCACCCCTCAAATAGGCAGCGGTTCAAACCGGTGCCTTAGACCGGGTTTGAACCGCTGCCTAATGCGTTTTTTCTACTAGTGAGGTATGGGTTTGAAACTCTTAAAATCATAAAACAAACTTAAGGCATTGGTTTAAATTATTCTAAACTCATACCTTATACCTTAATTATGTGAACCAACTAACAAAGTTTCCCCTATAACACTAACAAAATAACCCTCAAGATGGTTGGCCATACGATATGACCAGCCACATATTAAAGTTGATGATAAAAGAAAAGGTCAAATTATTACATTAGCATGTGTGTAAACTTTGACTAAGTCATTTCTTTTGGTAAAGAGGGAGTAGTTTTATAAGTAGATATATATATCAATTTTTTTTTCCCTTTTCCTTTATATATGTATATATATGGGAAAACTTAGAAAAGAACAAAAGTAAATCATTATAAAATTAAGGCAAATTTGTAAAAAAAAAAAAAAAAAAAAAAACCTTTTAAAAGCACCATTTTGCAAAAAAAAAACAAAAAAAAAAACAAAAAAAAAAAAAAAAACCCTTTTAGAAGCTTTAAGGTTAAAAAAAATCACCACATTCATTTTTTTTTGCGAGAGGAAACCTATTCCCCTAATTACCCACCAATTAACTTAATTAAACTCTAAATTCTTCTAATTAACCTCTAACCCACCAACTAATTAATACTTTGTGTGTGTGTATATATATTTATATATATATATATATATATATATATATATATATATATATATATAAACCACCACCCCCTCCTTCCTTCTCCCTTCCTCCTCCCATGGAATCAACCCCTCTCCCCACCGGACCCGCTGTCCAAATCCCCCCACCTCCGGCGACATTCTCCACCGCCGAACGATCTTCCCTTTCCCCCTAACCATATCCCAACAACCATCTCCTTGATTTTGAAAAACCCTAGAAAATTCTTTTAGGGAATTTTTATTTGTGCGTCTTTCTTACAATTGATGCATATTTTGGCTTTGATTCTGTATGTATGTATGTGATGCTAGGGTGATTTAGAAACAAATAGGAATTGATTTGGACTTGATTTGAGCATATTTGAGTATATAAAATCCAAAAATTCGAAGGGAGGTGGTGGTCGCCAACGGGGATAAAGGGGAAAGGGATGGTCCACCGGCGGTGGAGGTAGGTCGCCGGAGGTGAGGGAATCTGGGCAGGGTGGTTGGTTGGTGGTTGGGGTGGTGGTTCTTTTTTTTTATGTATAAATTAAATATAATTATTAAGTAATTGGGTGTGTTAGTGGTTAATTAGAAGAAATGGGAGGAAATTAGAGTTTAATCAAGTTAATTAGAGGATAATTAAGAAAATCCTCTCGAAAAAAAAAAAATAAACGTGGTGGTTTTTTTTTTTAACTAAAAAGCTTTTAAAAGGTTTTTTTTCCGCAAAATTGAGCTTTTAAAAGGGTTTTTTTTTGACAAATTTGCCTAAAATTAAACCACATGTAAGAGAACCAAGATTTTTAGGTGGCATTTAAAAGTGGCTATCTTCCAACTTTCTCAATGGTAGAAAAGTGAGATGAAGTACTAATGTAGTGTTGTTATGCATTTACAAATACTAAAATATTAGAGCATCAATAATGGGGGGTTCTTAGGTGGTTCTTAAGGAGAGAGAAAATATAAGAGCTAGTTCTTAGGTGAGAAATGGGAGTTTCTAATTTAGAAATTGTGTTAAGGGATTCTGAAATAAGCAATGGGTCTTGAAAATAAGAACTGGTGATGAGTTGGCATTAAACGACATGGGTGCCACTATAATGTATGTGCGTTTTGATAAAAATATCCACCGAAACTCTGCATTTTGGCAGAGCAAATTCAGAGAAATGCAGATAGCCTCCAACATTTACACATGGAAAATGCATGCATGCAAAAGAGCTCCAACGGTTCTTTTACTGAATGCATGCAGGTAAATCACTTTTTTTTTTTTTTTAAAGAATTTAAGTTGAAATTTTTTTAACAATGTAATAGTAATATGTAACGGTTATTTAATTTGTTTTTACAATATAAAAGTAGATAACTTGATCACCAAAATTACCATACTTCAATTTTTTGTAAAAATTTTTTCCTTTCATAATTAATATATATTTCTCAACGTGGATAAAAAATAATCCAAATTATAGATTACCCAACTACACAACAAATATAAATTACCCTATAAATCCAAATTACATAATGGATCATCAAAATCTTCAATATTATCCAAACAATCAAAATTACCCCACTTATCAAAATTATCCCAATAATCCAAATTTTCCCACCCATCCAAACTACCCAATAAACCCAAATTTTCAAGTAAATCCAAATATAAATCCTAATATAAATCCTAATTTTCATCCTTCTATTAACCATCACCAAAACATGGGGAATAACATTTCAAATTCATCTTTTTCCCCATACTCCACTCGGAATTCTTCAAATTATTTTACAAATATGTTAAATGGTACAAATTTGTCAAGTGTCGGGGAATCTGAAGGTGAGGATGTGGTTAATCATGGTTGTGGAGGTTCGGGGTCCGGTGTATCTCTTAGTAACATTAACATTAATTCTGTGGCAGAAGAAGAAAATGAAGGTGATAATGATGAACCAACACCAACAACTGGAGGAGGATATCTTGGAATAAGGCCCAAGATAACCTTTTAATTAGTGGATGGCTCAATTATGCTCCTGATAAAGTAAATGGTACTAATCAAACCGGTGAAGCATTTTGGAGTAAGATAGTAGACTACTACAACAAGCATCGTAGTGGGGGAAGATCAAGAGAACTTCAACAACTCAAGTGTCGCTGGCAAAAAATACGACCTGCAGTTGCCAAATATGCAGCATGTGTTGATCTATGCAAACAACGAAATAAAAGCGGTGAGTGCACTTTAGATGTCATTAATGAAGCTAACGCTTTATTATTCTGATATGGAAGAAGATTTTAAGTTTGACTTTGCATATGAAAGATTAAAAAACCAACCTAAATTTATGAATGCGTTTGTGTACACCACCGATTCATCAACACCCTTATTTGATCCTCAAAATTATCAAACTCCAAGTGGTATCAATCAATCTGGAGGAAGTGAGGGGAGTGAAAAAAGATCAAGACTAGACGAAAGTGGAAATTTTTCTTCGTCATCTGCAGAAAGAACACCACAAAGTGCTAACCCCCTAACACGACCAGGGGGTCAAAAGGCAGCAAAAAGGAAATTGAAGATGAAGGCAACTGATGTTGTTGATCCTTTGCAAGAGAAACTTTCAAGTGTACAACATTCAAACGAAGAAACTGCAAAGGCAGTGAAGGAGTTCGTTGAGGTTGAACGAATTAGAGAGGAAAGAAAAAGACAAGCCCAAATCATGAAAGAACGGGAATTAAAATATCAACTACTACAAGCATTACTAAGTCGAGATACTTTATCAGAGGAAGATGAAGCTCGTAAATATAAGTTGTGGGACGAATTAATGACCATGTAATGACTTTATTTTTAAACATCATTGTTAATTTAATGTAATTGTTGTTTATCAATAGTTGTTATGTTTAATTACTACTAGTTAATGATATTAGTTAATCGTATCAGCATAATTCTTAATTGTATCAGTGTAATTCTTAATCGTATCAGTGTAATTCTTAATCTTATTCGTTATGTTGTATTGAAAAAACAAAAAAAAACATGCTTATGTTTGTAATTTTAAAACGACAAAAGACCAAATAGTACAAACATGTTGACATATGAGTCAAAAACCACGTACATAAATAATTTTGAGGCATTTTCTTTTGCAAGTGAATTATCGATGTACTCAGAGCTCTTCTGCCGACATCAATAGCATTGTATTGATATAATATGACTTTTGTGTGACAATGCATGGTGTGTCACGTGTCTTTCATGGCACATCAATTATTTACAAGCATCTTTAACTTTTCAAATCTATATAATAACACCTTGTACATTAATGTTTACACAACTTACAATTCAATTCCTCTCTTATTTCACAAAAATTTCAATACGCAGTATCTTCAAAAATAATTATGGCTTCTAGTTCAAGTTCAAGTTCAAGTTCAAGCTCTGCAAGCTTAGATCATGAAAATCCAAACCCCCATTCACAAGTCCGGCAAATGGCTCGTAATTGGGTAATGGAAATTCCACATCACAATCAAATTGTAGCTGAAACTGTTACCGAGCTCACTAGAAGGAGTTCCACTTCTCAAAGGCAGAGGAAGAATCGTTCTCCCAATCGACCAAGAGATCGTATTTCCGGTCACAACCGGTTATTCTTAGATTATTTTGCTGAGAATCCAGTATATACTGATGATCAATTTTGACGGAGGTTTAGGATGAAAAGGTCGTTATTTATGCATATAGTTGAAAGAGTCCAACAACGCGATCCATGGTTTCAACAAAAATATGATGCAGTTGGTAAGCCCGGTTTTTCACCACTACAAAAATGCACTGCAGCTATGAGATTATTGGCATATGGAGTAGCAGCTGACCAAATCGATGAGTATGTCAGAATTAGTGAGAAAAGCTCACTCAATGCCTTAAGTAGATTTGTTGATGTTATAATTGCCGAGTTTCAAGAAGTGTATTTGAGGAAGCCAAATGAAGAAGACTTACAAAGGCTATTGCACATTGGAGAGGTGCGTGGATTCCCAGGCATGTTGGGAAGTATAGATTGTATGCATTGGGAGTTGAAAAATTGTCCAACTGCTTGGCAAGGACAATTTCAAGGTCGAGATGGTAAATCTACAATAATATTAGAAGCAGTTGCATCAGCAGATTTATGGATTTGGCATGCTTTTTTTGGAGTTCTGGGCTCATCAAACGACATCAATGTACTAAATCGATCTCCAGTTTTTAATGATATTTTTGAAGGAAGAGCGCCACCAGTCAACTTTAAAGTAAATGGTCACCAATACAATATGGGATATTACCTAGCAGATGGTATATATCCAGAATGGGCAACTTTTGTGCAAGCATTTCGACTTCCACAAGGTCGAAAAGCAAAATTATTTTCGCAACGCCAAGAGTCGGTACGAAAAGATGTTGAGCGTGCTTTTAGAGTTCTCCAGGCTAGATTTGCTATAATACGAAACCCGGCACTAATATGGAAAATAGAAGTTGTCAAAAAATAATGATAGCTTGTATCATATTGCATAACATGATTGTTGAAGATGAACGACAAGGTTACCTTCACAATGAAGAGTACGGAGATTTTAGGCAGTTTGATCAAGCAGAAAATGATGATGACTCGCCAACTAATTATAATGTACGTTGGCGTGCCGATATGAAAACATACCTAAGGAATAGGATGAGAGTACGAAATAGGGAAACCCATATTCAATTGCGAGATGACTTAATGGAACATATCTGGGATCGGTTTGGTCATGATGGTGAGGAATAAAATGTATTTTTATTCCTATTAATTTTAATTTCTGAATGTATTTCTTTGTCTCTTTTAATTGTGTTTATGTTTTTTTTACTATTGTTAATGTGTTATTGTATGCAAAAGTTCTTATCTCCATATTCAATATTAATGCCAATTTTTTTTAAGTACATTATATAACTCATATTTAACAATACATTTGTATGTTGTTTAATACCAAAAAACAATAATTAAAAAAAAACAAGCATATATACTAGTAGTAGTAGCAATAATAATAATAATAATAATAATAATAATAATAATAATAATAATAATAATAATAATAATAATAATAATAATAATAATAATAATAATAATAATAATAAAAGTGTTCCTCAAAAAAAAAAAGTGTTGTTGGACAAATATAATAATGATGAAGCAATTATTAAAAGTAAGAGAGAGAAAGAAGAGAGAGATTAAGATATAGTGTTAAGACCTAGTGCATTTCTTTGGGTATATGAAGGGTGGAGCTTAATAAGAATTTATGATGATGTGGAACAAGAGAGAGAATAAGAACTACCATATAAGAAACAATGCATTATTGATGCTCTTAAAAGTCACATGAAAAAGAAAGAAAGGAAGAAAGTGATGTGTGGGACCACTTCTAATTATACCACTAAAAGTTTATATAATATTATTAATTATTTAGTGATACTATACCACTGAATGCATATATCAGTGTATGCATACATAGTACCACTGAAATATTCAATGGTACAATTTGATCACCCAATGATACTATTGATCATTCAATGAATGATACTAATCTAAAATCAAGCACTAAATTACGTGCAATTACACTCTTACCCTTCGTTATGCAATAATTCTTGCATAACAGGACTCCCTTTAAATAAGCACAGTGATACAATAATCAAAGAAAATTCATGCAAAACTTCATTGTTTCCAATAAATCCCATGTGTTAGTAGTTACACATTTACTCAAATACTATATACAACGTGTAAAATAAAGCTAGTAGCTAGACTTCAGGATTTTTGACAGAAAAAAATTTATTAATCTAGATTTTCAAGTATCTCTTTTTTCTTTTGCTCCTCCTAACAGATATGCAGGCAGCTTCTCTGTCCATCATGGTCCTGCATCATGACCTAGTCAGTAGTCACCTAGTCGCAAATTCCAACCGAATTTAAGGTTATTTCACTGTGACTCTGTCAATACTAGTTTTAGCATCATTTAAAGATTAAATCGAAATCAAGATAATATACCGAGGTTATATGAAATCGGTAGCATGATCAATTATGCCAAAACAACCAAACGAAGGTTAAAGATTTTTTATACGTATCATAATTAAGTTAAAAAATAATTCATGATTAAATTACCAGCATATATAATTAGTCAATAATCTTGTGCTTAGACAAAACACAACGAACATGAGCGCGAACTGCTTCAATTCTCGCCACCTACAAGTTTCATGTATTGTAATAAATTATTGGTTAAATTTACGACAAAATATTAACAAAATATAATGAAAATGCATAAATTTCAAAACTCAAGAAAGAACCTTGAATTCATTTGGAATCTGCCACTGGCTCTTCTTGGTATCTTTGTTATAGTAGTACCTGATATAATTTGGTGATGATGAATATATCAAGAAATTTATGTGTAATAAAATTATGTTATTGCAAAGGTGACATGAGTAATAAGATAACTCACTTGGTCCCATCACGAGACATACGCTCCCTCCAATTGGTACTTGCACAAGTAATTCTCTATTATGTTACACAAAATATTTGAAACTTAAATTAAACGCACATTAAAGTATAAAATTAATTGCGTTAAAATAGAAATTGACAAGAATGAGCAAGGCAACGAATACATAAGAATGCGACAAATTTTGTCTATGAGTACTAATTTTTAATTACCAACCTCGATACAAGTCATCTTTTCAAAAGGCTTATGCCATGTAGACTCCCTTATCTTCTTTTTGTGGTAGAATCTAAACCAATTAATAAAAGTCAGTCTCTCTGTACTATTGCTAGGAACAAAGAACAAAGATCACTAGTACGAAAACAAACATTTACTACGTATATGATTGATTTACAAAAGGCAATACGTTGATCATGATAACCTAAAACCATCTAGTTTAAATAACAGAATTAACTACAAAAGAAGAACAAACCATTGAACTTTTCTTAACCCAGCAAAACTAACAAAACTACATACCTCCTTCCCTCACTGGTGTGTTCTGACCAATCAGAGGATAATTTTACTGATTGAGAATCAACTCCCTGTAAAAAAGTGAGACTTAAGTCTATATCAAACAAGACTAGATACCCAAAATCGAACATCGAATTCATCAGGATTTACCCCATGGAACTCTTTGGTATTGCTGTCATTACAATACCTGTAACATTAAAATACAATGCACAATACATCAAAAACTTCCATATTTATACAAAAATTTACATAAGAAACTGAGAAGAAGGTGAAATAGAACAAATGAGAGAACTCACTTTCTTCTATCAGTGTAACCATTAACATTCATCTGCAATTTTAAGGAAAAATTAAGAACCCAAATTGACATATGGTAAAATAACCAACATAAGACACAAGGAGAAGAATTTAACTGTTTGGTAAGCCCTTGTTGCTTCTTCCCGTATCAACTACAAGGAAAACAACAATATAACTATGTTACAAGTCATACACAAAGTAGTTATATAACTAACCTGATTTCATTGATCGTAACTTCATGATATATGACTAATTATCAATAGAAGAGCAGAAGATGAGAGACCTTGAGCTCCTCAGGAATCGCCCACTGAGACTCGTTGCTAACTTTGTTATAGTAATACCTGGTAACGCGTTTTGTAATAGCAAATGTATATCAAAAACTTTCATTTGTTTTATTAATTTTAAGATGCTGCAAAAAGTGACAAGAGTATGTTGATCAAATAACTCACTTTTTTCCATTAGAACTCACATACTCCTTCCAGCTAGTAGTTGCTTTAGTCACCCTCTGTCATTGAAGAAGAACATGATCAAAGTTTAGAGATGACACAAACTTATCTTAGAATCTAGGTTATTTCTTCCGCCTAAGGAAGAAGCTAGTAGAGAATTAGATCACTAGAAACATTGTTGTGCTAGGGTATTAGATTAGAGGGTCGATAATAAACTACTGAAGGCTCAGTACAACATGTCTAACCAATTGAACAGGGAATATACAGGGTTTTAAAATCCATGTATATTCGGCTTCTCAGCAAATGGGAATAGCATGGAACTCTAGGCCATCTTAAAAAGTCTAAATAACAATCAAGCAAGGCTTAATATTAATCAGATAAATACAGTTCAAAGTTCGTTTTTTACACCTTTTCATGACATGAAGTGTAAGGCTGAGATAAGTGAGATACTACATTCTTCCCTAGTAACGTATAATAATGTAACAAGGGGAATAACTTAAAAATTCATTCCTCAAGTAAATACAAAGTATATTATAGAATTGATCAGTCATTATTTTAGAAAACAAGGGATTTATATTTTTGTTGCCTGAATTATTTTGGATGAACAAAAGAAAAAAAAAAGGAGCAAAGTATGTACAGAAGTGATAAACAATGGCCGAACTGCCGAAGGAACTTGATATAGTTCTCATTTTTTTCAATACAGTTCGATGCTTTTTTTTTCATCTTTTCATGATAGTACTATATAGAGCTTGTATAAGGCAATAATGTATGACATTGCATAAACTTGAACAAACTTCTGTTCGCTACATAATTACATATAGAGCTTGTTATTCCTGATTCTCTGACAACAAAGGCTTTAAACTATCAATGCGTGAGTTATTTTGGATAGACAGGATAGAAAAATAGAACAAAGTATGCATAGAAGTAATAAAGAATGACCAAATTAAGGGACTCGATACTAATACTTCTTTTCCCAAGTGGCAACAAAACCAAAGATCAATCAAAAAGTCCAACAATAAAGAGGAACAAATGAGACGACACCACAACATGAATGCATGATTCGAGCTATTAATAAACAGCCTAAAAAATCTGATATTTTGATAGAAGATAGTTTATCTAATCCCACCTCAATAAAAGTCATCAGCTCAGATGGTTTCTTCCCTGCAGTCTGCCTTGCTTTCTTGTTGCAGTAACATCTAAACCAAAAAAATTAAGTTGGTCACATTGAGTAAACAAGAGCAATCCTAATCACAATATAATCGCTTACCAAAACCACATACCTCCTTTCAATTTTGCTGGTGTCTTTTGACCACTTCGACGAAAGTCTTAGTGGATCAAAATCAGCAACCTAAAAGATAAGTTGATTAACATTATATCTAATAATGAAATCTAAACTGTTAGGCTGTATGTGGAAGACAAAACAGAACAAGAAACATAACGAAGTTGAAGATTGTACCCTTTGCTCTACATGAACACAATTCCAAATGCTTCGCAAAACCATGTCATGTACTCGTTTCTGTTATGCAATTATTCAATCATTAGCTCGTAGTTGATAATGACTTGTATTAACAATTTAACATACATTAGTTATAAGAGAAATTTGATAAATAAGTATTAAGCGTATCTCATGATTTTTTCAGGGTTGTAACAACCCTAAGCTGTCACAAGATGCACGTAGCTACCACATCGAACATAAGTAAAATTTCAGGACAAAACTCAAGTTCAAACAGAATATGTTCTAAATAGAAAACAAGTACTACCTTAAGGTCCATGAGAAAAAGTAAAGTGTTACAGAATAATCCACCTCCAAAACATTTTTTACTCTTCATATTGTCAATACTTTGCTGCAAAACATAAAAATTATTAGAAGCAATCAAAATTAGAGTCATTACAAGACTAGCTCATTAGGAATATTAGATTACAAGTATAAAAAAAAAAAAGTATACTTTAAAAGAAGACTAATCAATCAAGGAGAAAATTCACTTGATTCAGTAATGAAAATGTGTTAAGTTATTACTTGAGAATAATGTGATGTCATAGTGCTAAAGAAGGACTATCCCCTGAAAACATCTAGACGAACAAAACTAACTCATCTAAATCTAACATAAATACTAAGGCTCCATTCTCTTATACTTGATAATTGATAAAATGAAATTATAATTACTTACTGAATCGAAATTATTTTTACAGAGGTTTTTGCCAAAATAAATTAAATTATTTTTACGTAGCATAAATTATTTTGGGTTTTTCTACGTGGTACCCCTGAGTTATTGGGTTTTCTACATTGTACCCTTCTAAATCCTAAGTTCTACAAGGTGCCCTTGAGTTTTTGGGTTTTTCTACATGGTGCCCTTGAGTTGTAAATTAAATGACTCTAACTTAATTTGTCTCAAACCGAAACCATCTAAATGATCTATTTACCACTTCTATATTTATATTAGATGGAGGAATCACCAATCTTCATTATTTGCTGTTTAGTAGAACTTTTGTATGATCATTTGAGATGGAAGGTAAGAACTTTTTTTTGCTCATACTTTAACTAAAAGAGCTTGTTTTAGAGGGACTCAATCTGCTGTCAAAAAAAAATTTTTTTTTTTTTTTTTTTTTTTTTTTTTTTTTGCAATAAACATGTTAGTTGTGTATTTGATGGTGCTAAATAAGTCGTTTAGGTGGTGTGGGTTTGAGTCAAATTAATTTAGAGCCATTTATATTACTACTCAAGGGTACCATATAGAACAATTTAAAAACTCAAGGGTTTAATGTAAAATAAACTAATAATTCAAGGTCACCTTGTAGAAATCTGAATTTAGAAGGGTACAAGGTAGAAAACTCAAAAATTCAAGGGTACCATGTAGAAAAACCCAATTATTTTTGTAATTTTACTGATTCTTATAATATTTATTTGATTAAAGTTAATTAATTTACAAATTCTTATATATGGTTGGCCACACCGTGTAGTAAACCATCATTGTGATAACTTCATTAGCGCTATAGGGATTACTTGATTAGTGTTATAAGTCAATGTTTCGAGGGTTACTTCGCCACTGTTATAGAGGTTGGGGGTTACTTCGTAGTATTATAGGGACTACTTCGTCAGTAGTATAAGGATAACTCGTTCTTTTACAAATGGCCACATAGTGTGGCTAATCGCACACAAGATGATCTATTATTAGTTTGTGTAATTTTATTGGTTAAAAACTTATTTCTGCTGCATTGATATTTCTGCTAAGTTCTACTCAGTAGCACCAAAAAAAAAAAGTAAATTGAACCAGGCCTAGCTTTGAAACAAGCGACTATACAAATATGCAATGGAGGCATGAAAGAGTGAAAAAGACATTATTAAGGTGAAGATCAAAGCTAAAGCTAAACAAAAACATTGTTAAAAAAAATATACAAATTTTGTAACATTTTTATTTATTTATTTATTTTTTTACAAGTGTGACAATAACAATTGACTATTGTTTCAAAATTCGTTACGGAGTAGCACTTATTCAGGGATTATTAATTCAGTCTACAAAGTGCATCAGGGGCTAAATCAGCATCATTCGTAATAATAAATTCAAAAGTCATGTCCATAATTTTTTTTAGGTTTATGTTAGGATTAAATCTCGCAATTATACTTACAGCATGATCATATACGTATCAACATAATCAAAAGATCAATAACATCTCGTAAAATAATAATTAGATCATACCCTCGAGAGCACGATTTAGGCTAGCAAGTGAAAAAAGTAATTACCTTATTTCTCATGCGAACTGCCCTAGCTCTCGTCTTCTCGTTAATGTATTCTTTGGAAAACGTTGAAAATTTTCCATTTTATAATTTAATGAGAAGAAAGAAAAAAAATGGTAAGTTTACTTGATAGGAATTTAGAGAGTTTCTAAAAATAAAACCCTGATAAACCCTATTATGTTTTTTTTTTTTTTTTTTTTTTTTTTGGTGTTCCACCCGGTTCACCCTTATTATGTGTTTATGAGATATTCCAATTTTCCTAATTTAATGTTTCATACGTACTAATTATTAATCCGTTGTTTATACACACGGGTGTACTGTGCTCATCGTACACTCGGATAAATAAAAAAAAGGCTGAAAGAATATCTTGTGTTTCATAAAGAACATACATGTATTTGACAAAGAACATGTTTGTTTTTGATAAAAACATGCATTACCAAAGAACATAAAGATATAATAAAAAGAACGAGATAAAAACTTAATAAAATTTCTGAAAAATTACACATTATTAACGGAAAAAATTTAGAAGTGATAAAAAATCGAGTAGGGCCGGGCCATATCATAATTTCTCGTCCCAAACCCGTAGAAAAGTAGCGGGTTTTCGGGCTTTTTTCGAACCCGATTCGAGTTTTAACTAAAAATGCATTTTTAGGTTTGCCCAAACCCACCCTATTTCGGGCCAGTTCGGGTCGGAATGCGAGTCATGCCAATGTTGATCACCTCTTAAAAAGTCCTTACCAAAGATATCATTTCCCCAAAAAATAGTTTTCTATCTCTCCAAAAAAAAATTCAACTTCCCATAATAATTTAGTTTTTTTACTCTAATATTATTTTCAATTAAAAATAATTTAAGATTTCAATATCAAATTTCAAAATAACATATGTTAAAAGAACATAATTTATATTGTAAAGTACATATAGTTAATACCTAAATACACATTAATCAAACTCAAAGAATGTACGATAATAAAAGTAATTTAAATATGACATATGATAATAAAAATAGAATTTGGGCGTCACTACGACCTTAAAGAACATACACGCCAAATTCAAAGAACATACTTTGTATTATTAAACCCAAAAAAACATATATGTTTATCAACATAATTTAAATATCATAAGTTGAAATGTAAAGAACATATAATTTTACTCAAAGAACACATTGATCACACTCGAAGAACATATTAAAGGTATGTTCTTTGTCAAACATAGGTATGCTCTTTATCAAATACTATATGTTCTTTCTGCCTTTTTTTGTTTACCCGGATGCACCCGGGTGTATTATCTAATTTTCACTAATTATTTCCTAAATTTTAATCCATTGTTAAATCTCAACTTTGAAATTTCCAAGTAGTCGGTTTAGAGTCTGTTCACATTTACCAAATTGAACTGAACTGAACTAATTGGAGCTGAACTGAACTGATTGAAGCTGAACTGAAATTAAGTAAATGTGAGTAAACCTTTAGTTGTGTGTAAATCCCATGATAATATCATAATCATTAATCATCACTATAAAGGATCTATTAGATTCAGTTTAAAAAAAAATAAAAAAACAAACAAACAAACTTTGTTTAGTTCATCTTATTTTTACTTATTTCATAAAAAAAATAAGTTCAGATCAAATAAAAAATAAGTTTAAATCAGATCATCGTTTTATGTGCAGTTTTTTATCGTTAAAATATCTTTAATTTCGTAATGAAAAAAATTATGAAAATCACATATTAATAAAATACACACTATTACGAATCTAACAAGACCCAATTGAGGTGAACCAAACAAGCCCTAATTGAGGACCTCGCTTGACTTTAGCATTATATGCACACTTTCATTTGTAATGATAAAAAGAAAGTCAAACATGTCAATTATTTTGTGTCAAAAAAAATGTCAATTATTTAAGAAGGAAGGGTGTATATGTAATACAAACCATATTAATGTGAAATCTTATTGAAATTGTCACAATAAATACGATAGAGTATCATAATATCTTTGTACAAAATATAATTTTCAGAATTAAAGACATTGATTGTTAAAGATGTTCAGCAAGTACTATAATTAGGAGTAAGATACCCTTAAAGCAAATTTCTTTGGAGCTTCATGCGTAATCTCACACTAATATTTCCCAAAAGCAAAGGCTTATTTCAAGATTCAATCCTTTCTAAGTGATGCAAATTTTCAAAATATAAGGTGTACAATGTAAGGGAAAACAAAGACAGTAAGCAATAGGCCTCATTCAAAAGAATAAAGTTCACATTATGAAATTTAACATATGATACACTGGGACTCAATTCGGAGAATTTGATACTAGTTCCCCCAACAACAAAACGGGGATATCGAGCTCAAGTTTAGTTCCCATAGGATTGGAGTAGAAAATGCCTTATGAATAACATAATCATACAGGGATAAAAGCTTTATTTCACCTTGTGCAGTATAAATAATGTATGCAACTGAATTCTACAATGA